GGAAGCGGCAGCATTCAGCCTATGTGTGGCTGCAGACTGTGCGTGCTGACCTGCGTATCTGCCTGGGGAGGGAGAGGAAACAGCCGCCTGGCTGGCCCGCTGGTGGGGCCAATGGCATTTTCCCTTCTTGGAGTCCTCAAAACCAGTCATCTCTTGAGAAGACTGGCTGACACCTTGAAGAAATAATTCAGAGGTTTTGAAATGCCCCATTCTAGTAAGGATGTGGAACAAGGGACACTCACCCATTTCTGACGGGGATGCCAAACGCTGCAGCCCCTTTGGAGGACTGTTCAGCAGTTTCTTACAAAGTTCGAGATAGCCTCTATCAATGCAACTCAGCAATCAGGCCTGCTTATTTACCCAAGTGCGTTGCAAACTTCGGAACATCTGTGCAGTGGAATGTTGTTCAGTGGTTTTAAAATGACCTAACAAGCTACCAAAAGACACAAAAAGCTAAGTGAAAGGTGTTAGGGCCAGGCATAGTGTCACATTCCTATAATCCCAGCCCTTGGAACATCACCACAACTCTGAGGCCAGCCGGGGCTATCTAATGAGTCAGGGACCAGCCTGAACTACACAGCAAAACCTTGTCTCAAAACCAACAAAACCCTCAACAATTAGAAAGCAAATCACTCAGTTAAAAAATGCACTGGGGACTTCAACAGACATGTCATCAAAGATGTACTGGTAGCAATGAAGCACATAAAAAGACTTTCCGTATCAGATCATCAGAGAAGTGGAAATTAAAACAAGATTCCGATGCCCTCCTACTGAATCAACCAAACCTCAGAGCACGAAGAACCACGGGTGGTGGGCGAGGTGTGGAGACAGGAGCTCTCACTCTTTGCTGTGAGAATGAAGAGCCTCTTTGGAAGGCAAGTTGATAGTGTCTTGCAAGAACTGAATGTATTCTTATCTTCTAGTCCAGCAGTCATGCTTGATCTCATCACAGAGAGGTTGAGAACTTGTCTATATAAAAAAAAAAAAAAAACACCTCACTCTCAGATGTTGATAGCAGCTTTATTCATAACTGCCAAAATGTGGAAGCAACTAAGATGTCCTTCATTAGGTGAGTGGATACACTATAGTACATCTGGACAATAGACTAGTATTCAGCACAAAACAATGCCCAGCATGGTGGCACATGCCTACAATTCCAGCACTCGGGAGGCTGAGGCAGAAGGACCAATGTACGTTTGAGACCACCCCGGCTACAAACTGAGCTCAAAGTTCTAGGCTGAACTGCATAGTGAGATTCTGTCTCAAAAAGACAGAAAAAAAAGAGGAAGAAAAAAGAAAAAAGAAAGAGAGAGAGAGAGAGAGAGAGAGAGAGAGAGAGAGAGAGAAATATTTCTCAAGCCAGCAAGAGATGTGGAAGAACTTTATGTATTATTCAAGGCAAAAGCCAATCTGAAAAGTTACAGTCCAGCAGATCCCCAGCTTCTTGACTTTCTGGGGAAGACACAACATGGAGAGAGTAAAAGGATCAATAGTTTCAGGGCCTTGTGGGGCAGGAGAGTGGAATAGATAGCACAGAAGGATTTTAGAAAGTGGAAATAGCTTTTACAATACTAGAATGGCGGACACACCATGATTTTTTTTAAGCCCACACAATGTGCAACCCCAGGAGTGAACCGCAAGAGGAACCATGGCCTTGGGTGGCTATGATGTCTCAGGGTAGGTTTATCAGGTGCAGCAATCCTCACGCCTTCCTGCGGGAAGAGGTTGGCCTGAGGGAGGGGCTCGCATGTGCAGAGCCAGAGGCAAAGGAGAACTCTCTGAACCTTCTCAGTTTTTGCTATGAACCTAAAACTGCTCCAAGAACAAGCAAGCCTGCCCAAGACTTTCAGGAAACCACATTCAGAGTAGGAGAGTAGCAAACGCTGACCTCCTGGCCAGTTCCTCTTCAGCAGGCTGCCCCATTCTTCTGCAGCTGCTTTGAGTTTAGTTCACAGCTTCACAGCAGGACTTTCTCAAAACTGCACAGCAGACCAGAACTGCCAAGCCAGGAAGGGACCAAGAGTGGCTCTGGACACACCGAGTCAAGGAACGGAAGTTGGCCTTTTGGTCCCAAGATCCCACACCTTTGGTGACATCCACACTGCAGGGTTCCCTACCAGATCAGGTAGATGCTAGATCTCAATCTCTCTCTCTCTCTCTCTCTCTCTCTCTCTCTCTCTCTCTCTCTCTCTCTCATACACACACACATACGCACACACGCACACACAAACACACACGTGTGTGTGCCTACCAAACTGCCTTTTAGAGTTCATCACAATGTACTTCCAGGGAGCCTGCCCCACTTCAGGAGTAGGTGCAGAAATAGCAGGACCCTGATGCTAGCTCACCTGCCAGCCCAGTGGCCGTGAGAAGCCCCCCACTGGTGTTATGCAAGTGTTAGGAGTCCTGGCCCCATCTGCTGCAGGAGCTCCGAGACTCAGGCCCGCACCTCAGTGACCCCAGGCTCGGACTTGGTGGACAGGATGCACCTGAGACTCTGATGTGTTTAGGGTCTGAGAGGGGGAAGCGCCACCTCTCAGGACAGTGGATTTGGGAGGCTGTGGCCCAGCATCCCTCAGTCACTAACAAGACGGTGACAGGTCCTCATTGGTCACCAATTTACCACAGAGTGTGCTCATGGAAGGTTTTCCTTGTCAACATCCCGCTTTGCCAGGCAGCTAAAGAGTGCTGGTGGCACTTGAGCAAAGGGTGAATTCTCACCAGCGGCAAGGCTACCGCTTGGTCACCCAGGGCTCCGATGGCCAGCAGATGAGTGGGCCAAGCCAGGCACCGATAGGGAGAAAGAAGCCTAGCACTTACAATGGGAAAGTCTGAGCCTGTGCCCCCAACCCGGGGCTGTGGGAACAACCTGCCCCCTGAGGCCACGCAGGAGCTACAGGTGAAGTGGGCAGTCCATGATCGCCTTCTCCTACTTTGTCCTGGCCCTTCCTGGCCCCTTCCAGAACAATAACTAGGGTCAAATGACAGCAGGACCCAAGCAGGGACAGGCACCTGGGCCTTACAGGTAAAAGGCCCCCGATGTAAGGAGCGTGGAATTGCATTTTAATGCCCATCAAGGAAGGTGCCTGGCAGAGAAGCGCCAGATGACCAAGCCTTCAGGAGGACCTGGCTGTAGGGCTCCACAGCCTCCTGCCATGGGCTCAACAGAGAAACCATGGCAGCAGAACTGGAGCTGTGTGTGGGCCCAGCAGCAGGCACCCCCAGTCCTCAAGGCTGACCTACGATGATAACGTGACCTGGCTGCCCCTTTGCTTGTCAGGGCTACTCTGGCTGATCTGGGTGGCTGGGCGGCTCCATCCTCCCTGCCCATGCCCCAGTCATCCCTTCCAAAGCTGCGTGGTCAGAGAGGACAGCCTGTCCCACTAGAGACCACCGACTTCAGCTAAAGGCCTAGGTTCAGCTGGCCCCTGCTAGCGCCTCTGCTCACGTCTTCGAGGTGCCTCTGCGGAGGAGCACAGCAGAGTGGAGCTTCCCAGGCACAGACCTCCAGGAGAGGCGCTGCAGGTGTCCACGGCAGGTGGAGTCTGCCTTTGCTGAAAAACCAGAAGACCGATAGAGCCCCAGCCACTGCTGGATGTCCAGGCTGCCAGCTGAACCCCACACCAAGCCTGGAGTTTCTTAGTCTGCCCTGAGGAAACAAGTTGATTTTATCACCTGGGCCAAAGGGCCCAGTGTGTGACTGCTCATATAAATAACTGTTTTGGTCAAGGGACCTCCTGTAGACACACAGGGCACACTCCTCCTCCCCCCATTCAGACGCTCCCCCTCAACAGAGTAGTGGGACAGCCACTTAAGGGTGAGGCAGGGTGGTCACAGCCCTTCAGGATACGGTGTGGCCCTTGAGTCCATGGCCATGGGGCAGAACCATGAATATGGGAGCCACGATGCTAGTAAATTATGACCTTGCTTTGATGGTTTCTGGTGACCCATGCAGGAAATCTCCCTTCTCTTCGATACATTAATCTTGGTGGATCCAAGGCCTTGGTTCCCAGGGCGAACAGTTCCACTAGGGACATAGTAAGTCCTGCCTAACTTGCATTTATGTCTGCTACCTCCTGCAGTCCTCTGCCTGGACCTCCAAAGCCCTGTCACCCTCCCACCCATTCCGAATGGCTCCCCGCAGGGTCTCCCCAGGACCCCTGCTGCTGTCTTGCTCAGCAGCATCGCAGACTCGTATCAAGCTGTGGATCTTTTGCTGACTTGTTGGCAAGAGCACCTACAGCCACGGAATATTAAAGGGTGACACAGTGGGTCCCTGAGCATGGCGCTGTCCCCGGCAGCAGCCTTCCCTCCTCGCCATGGTTAGGACACATTCCTTCTTTTAGCGCAGCACTCCTTTCTTTGTTGGCTGGCTGCTGGCACGGGGATGAAGTGACAGGGGAGAGGAAGGTGGGGCTGTCCGAAGGATTCCGACATAACATCTCGGTCCTGGGACGGCTGGGTTGCTGTCTCCGATGCTCCTCCATACCTGACCTGGCCTGTCTCTGGTAGTAGACAGTGAAAGTGAATGCTTGCAACTAATAATATTTTAGGAGTCTGGATCGTGTAGGAATGTTTGAATTGAAGATTCACTTTTGTGAAGCACCAGGTCCTGAGTTCGAGTTCTGATACCAAAAGAAAGAGAGATACATAAAATTAGAATAACCATCTACCTCAGAGGTAGCAGACCAGGAGTCTGGCTGGTCCAGGAGCCTGGAGAGCCAGGCCCCACTCCGGGCCTCATTGAGTCCCCTGGGGTTTGTAGGTGACCTGTGAGGTACCCCGGGTCACACAGGGGTTGTCTTTGCTCATCCTATAGTATCACTAAGTAATTTACCATCAATATGATTATTGTATTACTCAAAAGTATTTCGTTCATGTTTGTATTTTGGTGAAGGAAATAAATTCTAGCAAACAGCCTTCTCAGAGTAGAGCTGATTTTACATATCAGACCAATTGATTTTAACCATTTTATGTTTCCTTTTTTAAAAAAATATATCGTGCTCGCTTCGGCAGCACATATACTAAAACTGGAACAATACAGAGTAGATTAGCATGGCTCCTGCGCAAGGATAACACGTAAAAAAATATATCTAGTACAGGTCTCACTACGTAGATCTGACTCATAGTGATTCTCCTGTTTTCAGCCTCCCAAGTGCTGGGCTTACAGGCGCCCAGTCTCAATCGCCATCTCAGTGCACCCCAGGGGTACGCCAGGGTTCGAACCCTGGCCACTGCACTCTGCACAAGCAGGTGCTTTAGTCCACTGAGCTGTCCAGCTGGCCCTTTATGTTTCCTTTTCTAATGATAAAATATAAAGTAATCAGGACAGATCGTCAAAAAATTAGGAAACACAGAACTGTAGAAATGCAAATTCTAACCAGACAGAAGCAGGATAAAACCGTCTTACTTATCCTCTCTCAGAATTTGTGCCTACGGAAATGCAAGATTAAAAAACAAAAAAACGCTGGAACTATGCTGAAGTTTGGGTAGCTTTACATTTCAATCTTATCGACAATTTTCCTTAAATCTGATGAAATGGACGCAACTCAGACTGAACCCCACTGGACATGGTGGCTTATTCTCCACCCCACCATCAACCTTTGGGCCCATTCTAACACAAAACATCTGAGGGCAGCTGGGGACTCAACGAGGAGGTGGTTTCCCAGTTGTGAAGTTTCCCTGAACCCAGCTCACAGCAGTTGAAAGTCTAAGCCAGCAAACTTGCAGAGCGTGGCCTGTGATCCCAGCACTTAGGAGGCTTAGGCATGAGGATCTCCGTGAGTTCAAAACCTGCCTGGGCTATATAGAGTTTAAGGCCAGCCTGGGCTACATAGCAAGCCCAAGTCTCAACAAAAACCTAACTAAATCAATAACCAAACTCAGACTGCCCTCAAAGCTGACAAAGGAAACTCGCTAGGGTAACCCCTGTATCTCAGGAGCTGTGTCTCCCAATAAAGATTTCCTATTGAGAGAGAGAGAGAGAGAGAGAGAGAGAGAGAGAGAGAGAGAGAGAGAGAGAACAGAGAATTCACTAGGGGAAAAAAAGGTTTCTGTGTTCTGAAGCCATGTGGAATCGGAATGCACTGAATTGAATCCTATACTTAGGAATGTTCTCCTTTCTCATAGCCAAGATAGTTTTGCAAATAAAATAACCACTGTCAGGTGTAGACCGACCTCAACCTCCAAGCTCGGACTTCGCAGCCCGAAACACAATCCTCCGCTCGGCCCGGAAGCCCCAGAACTCTCTCGTGGGGCGGGTCGCGGCTGCTGGCATGACCCCGCAGAGAGGGGCACCCCAGGCAGCGCGCAGAGGGGCCGGGTGTGCAGCCCGGCAGCCCGGTGACGCTCGGGTTCTGAGGTCGCACAGATCCCGGCTCAAGTCCAGTTTCATCTCTTCGGGTGAGTGGCTGCGCTCTTCGGGTTCCATTTCTTTTATCACCTGTTTTGCAAGGTGGAGGACTCATCCATAGTCTTCTCCCAGGGATGAAACGACAGGAGCCTCCTGGGCCAGTGCCTCCATCTCTGCCAGCAGCTCTTAGTGACCTTGGCTCCTCTGGGGAGCGGGCAGCCCAAGGGTCTCGGTGCTGCCTTAGGGCTGCCCCCTCCCCAACTCTCCAAGTGAAAATGGTGCGCTTCTCTGCGGGCCAAAGAGACGGTCCTGTGCCGCTCAGGAGGAATAGCGGAAAGTCTCGGTGGAAAGGAAATAAAACAGCCTGCCGGGCTACACGCGGCCTCAGAACGTGCAGAATCCACCGCAGACCCATTGCGCCATCCACTGGACAGCAGCGGAAAAGCCGCGATTGCGTTTCCAAAGCAGTCATCTGCCAGGAAAGTGTACTCTGAAGACACTCAATTCATCTAAGCAGAGTAAAACTTAGAAATCTCAGAACATGTACAATCAATGATACAACTAGATTCCCTACACAAGGGGGGCACTTGTCACAGCAGGCATAGGCAGGGGGACTCTGCTGGCCCGCTCCTCTCCTTCCCACCAACACAGTGGTCCCTGTGACCCTGGCTGCCTTGGCTAGGACCTGTCCCCCCATGCATTTGCCACGAATGCACACCTGTGGAATAATTTTTTTTGCTGTTAAATATTTCCCAGTTAAATATTTGTGCAGGTCCCTATGGGTTGAGTTTTTCCAAGTGTGTGTGTGTGTGTGTGTGTGTGTGTGTGTGTCCCTTCTGTTTCTTTTTTCAAAGCCATTTGTAACCCATGTGTTTATGAGAAGAAAGCAAGGGTAAATCAGTCTGGCCCAAACGTGCACAGCGACTGCGCACCTCACAGGCTGCAGCTCCTTCCTGCAGCCACCATGCACAATGGCAGCAGCGAGAGTTACTACTTCCCAGGCATTGGGCTTCATCCAGCCTGAGCTAATCCTCACACCAACACTGCAAAATAGACCTTATTATTTGCCATTTTGAGATAAGGAAACATGCCCAGAGAGGACATCGGACTTCCCGAGGTCACACAGCCGCTGGGCAAGGCCAGGGCGGCCCCCAGCCTGTCCCCACACAGGCTCCCTGTCCGCCCTGAGCCAGCTCCTTCTGCCCATCCCTCTTGGCCTACAGGCATATCAGTCACCCCAGCCAGACCGCAGAACCCCGGTCATAGCACTTCCTGCAGTGAACAGGAGCTGCAGTTCTAACAAACCTCCACACCCTGTCTCCTGTGGGGTGCCTGGGACCAGTCAGGTCTGTCACTTCCTGAGTCGTCCCAGTCACTGCAGGCCCCCAAGGCCCCTTTTCTGGGAGTCATCCAACTCGGAGGCCCCCCAGGCCTGGCAAACAGGAGGTGCTGCCCAGTGAAGTTAGAGGGCCAGGATGTGTCCTGGGTCCATGCTGCAGTGCACACACTGCCCACAGCCAAGGGATCCCAGCGCCACCCATTGTCCCTTTCTCCCCCAGGTAGCTGCAGCTCTGAGGCCATCCCCGCCGCAGCCCAGGAAGGCAGTGACCATGCAGAAGACCTGGAAAGGGACAGCAGCGCACTAAGTGTAACTGTCTCCCCGGTCTCCTCCTGAGCAGTCCTGTCCCTACCCTCCTTTTGTGACACACACCTCCCACAAGGACCCAGCGTGACCCTGGAAGCCATGGGCCTGACCCTTCGGAGTGGCACCCTGCCCCTAGCCCTGCCTGTCCCTGCATTCCTGTCACCTTGGCCAGGGCGGGCTTCTCGTTGTGATGAGGGGCCCAGGTGGTGGGCAGGGCCTGGGATGACCTGGGAGGCCTGGGCCAGGCGGGACCCCCACCCCCACCCCGCTGGTTTGAGATATGTCCTCCCTCCTCCAGCTCTCCGGACTCTTCCAGTTGGACGACAGCTCTGAAATGGGTTGCTCCAGAGCTGCGCTCCTGGACGCAGGAAGAGAAAGCTCGGAGGGGGAAAAGGAACGCGATGAGGATGAAAGGTGGGCATGGCCGAGGAGGGAAGCCTCTGTGTTGGCCTGGCCTTCTCTGACCTTCTTGGCCTTCCAGGGCACTGAGCAGCGCAGAGGAGGAGCACACGGGTAGCCAGCCACCTGCAGTGCCGGCGAGGGCTGAGGGTCCCTGCGTCCCTTCTCCAAAGAACTGACCCTGGTCACAACAATCGCTCCAGGCTGGCCAGGCCTCCACACCATCTTCCTCCTAGGGAGAGAGAGGCTGCAGTGGCACCGCAATTGCGCTCTCATTCCTCCAGGGAAAGGCGGCCCACAACCCAGCCGCAGGTGGGCAGCCCTAGGTGGGGAACCAGGGAGCTCCCAGGACCTGCCCAGAGACTTGGGACTCCTGACTTTGGGGGTCGGATACGTCCCTGTGGGGGCTGCACCCTGGGAAATCAGAGTGGTGACATCCCTGGCTTCTACCCATGCGATAGCGACACGCCATGCCATGCCACCTGCCCACCCCAGAATGTGACGATCAAACCATGCCTTCACCATTGCCAAAGCCCCCTGCTTGGGGCTGGCACCCCCTAGGCCGGGAGAGCCGTTGGGTGTGGCTGCTCCTCCCCACCTGAGACAGCGCCCATGCGCTCATGCGTTTGAGCAGAGCTGAGTGGTAGACCGGAAGTTTGCACATAGATTTGTAAGTTTTAAAATTTATTTGAATTTATTTTAGCTATTTTCAGTTATTTTTTGTTTTAGTTGCATTAATTTTAAATTGTTTTGAGAGTTTCTAGGTATCTCATTTTATAACTTTAATTAATGTTAATATATTTTATTTTCACAATCATTTAGTGTTTAGTTTTCATTTTTCAGTTATTTAAAGTTATTTTGTTTAAAGAGTCACAGATTTCAAATTAATAAGCTTATAACTATTTGTAATGGCATATCTTTATAATTTTTTGGGGGGGAAGGGTCTACAGGGTGTTCAGGGTCTCACTACCAGAGTGGACTCTAGTGATCCGCCTGTTTACAGCCTCCCAAGTGCTGGGATTACAGGCCGGGCCACCAAGCCCAGTCTCAATTGCCATCTCTGCGTGCTGCGGGGGTGGGGCCAGCACGACAGGCCCGGGGATCTAACGCTTGGCCCCTGTGCCTGCTTGCAGACGCTTTAATCCGCTGAGCTATTTGGCTGGCCCTTATAATTATTAATGTCTGGGTTTTAGTTTTTGGAGTTTGTTTGCTTATTTTTTGTACAAAGAATTGAACTCAGGCCCTTGTGCTTGCCAGGCAGGCATTTGTGCCACTGAGCTATCTCCCCAGCCTGGAGTTGTTGAGTTACTTCTTTTTCCAGCTAGACTGGTTGAAACTCATTGAGAGATTTTGAGTTACTATAGAGCTGTTTATTTTCAGAGCAACGTGTTCTTTGTTACTTCAGGCTTTGTCTTCACTCTAGAGTTGCTTAGGGTCACAGGGTTTTTATTCAGTTATTTTAGAGCCTGGGTTTTTTAACATTCATGTATTTATTATTTAGTTTATGTTACTTGGTTTTTAATTACTTCATTTGCAAGGTTCATTTTCAAACATTGTGTTTCTGAATTTGTTATGCTCAGCATCTGAGACGGTTCATTTCACGATTCGCCATCACTGAGCTGTGGCTTTTCAGTTATGTCTTTGCCATTTAAATAGACTCTCTTCTTTATTTTTACACAGTTCATTCAGATTTATTTTCAAAGGTGTTTAGAATTAGAATTACTTAGTACATTGACCTGTTCAAGAGAGGGGGTAACAGACAGAGACAGAGACAGAGAGGCAGAGACGAGATCACTTAGGTCAGCAGAGGGCTCAGTAAGTAGAGTGGTGCTCCTGCTGTCAGCGAGTTTAAGAAGAAGACACGGTACTGAAGGGAGTGTGGAGATTTTAACTGCAGAAAGCAGCCTTCATTCCAGATGCAAGGTGGCAAAAGGCAGAGGTTGGGATTCGCCAAACTCAGACATCTGGGGGCAGCAGCAGCCATGGCCAGGGTCTGGGTTCTGGGCTCCAAGGAGGCCAGGGCCTGGGTCTCCACATAGACACGACCTGTAATGACGGGAGACTTAGAGCCACCGTGATCTTCCTGGTAGAGACCTTCAGGGGAGGCTGGAAGGATCTGTGGGGCCCCGTGTCCCCTCCTGTCCTCTGTCCTCCACAGAGGAAGAGGAGCCAGAAGTCCTGGGCTCCCTCCCCAGCAGCCCCAGCCCAACCTGGAGTAAGCTTTGATTTGATGTTGGGAAGGTGCAGAGATGTCTGCCTCTGAGCTTCCCCTGGCTGCAGCTAAGGTTTCAGTCCAGTTGTCTCTGGCGCTTCAAAGCCCACAGACCCCTGAGAAGACACTCCTCCCACCCTGTGAGATTCAAAGGAGCCGCTTTTTTTAGTGATCTGCCTATTTACAGCCTCCCAAGGGCTGGGATTACAGGCCCATGCCACTACGCCCCGTGTCAATCGCCATCTCAGTGCGCCCCGGGGACGGGGCCGGTACAGCAGGCCCAGGGATTGAACTCCTGGCCCCTGCACCTGCTTGCAGGTGCTGTGATCTGCTGAGCTATTTAGGGAGCCACTTTAGAGCACAAGAAAACAAAACAGCTTGTCTTTCTGGGGTCACAGCAGAAGGTCAGAGGTCAAAAAGGAACAGAGATGCAGGGAGCCTCTGTCCTGTGACCTGATGGGGGCTAAGCTGCAGATCTGGCCTCTCCCTTTGCTACAGCTCAGTCTGCTTGACACGTGTGTTTGAAGTGTGTAGACTGTTTGCACAACAAAATAAAGTTCTTTCTAGACCTATAGTCTGTAACCACAGGCTCTTGCATGTGCATCATTTTTCCACCCACGTGACTCTGTTTTTGAACAGAAAGACCATTTATGAACAGATGTGCAATGCTGTTGTTCCTGCACACCTCCCCCGGAGCTCTTCTGCTCTAGATAGGACGCTGGCATGGGGTGAGCCTGGGAGAGATGGGATGAAGATGAGTGAGAAGCTCTCAGCCTAGGGGGAGACAGGTGTGATGCTACTGTCGCATCGCAGCATGACAAGTGCTCCGGAGACACAGATGCTGTCATTGACTTCCCTGTGTAGTCAGGGAGGGGTAACAGCAGCCTGGGTCTTACAGAGCTGAGTTTTGTCCAAGTGGAAAAGGAGGAGGAGACCCTGGGCTGGGGGACAGCTCGTGCTCAGGCACAGGGCAGGACGAGTGGGCAGAGGCACTGGGCCACGGAGCTCAGAAAGGCGCCATCACTGGGGATGCCTGGCCCTCGGCAGGTGACTCAGCACCCTGCCAGTCATGTTGTCCATCAGCTCTGAAAGGCCCAGCAGGCGGTGCTCAAGGCCTGGGCAACATTTTGTGTTCTGACATCCCAGGCGTTCCGCGTTGGTGCCACTTTTCTTTCTGCCCGAGTAAGCAGAGCAGTCGTCAGGACTGGGACCTCAGTCCCTGGAATTAATTTCATTAAGCTTTGCTGCTTTTCCTGTCACACACTATGTCCTATTCTTTGCCACACACAAAAACCAGAAACCTGTCCTGGGGCCCTACTGTCCCTAGGTTTGGGGGCTGGAGTGTCCTAGGGATGGTTTCTAGGTTTTTCCCTTAGCAAAGAATTGGTAAGACAAGCGCAAATAATAGCCAAGTTTTATTAAAGGTAGGAAAAGAAAAGCTCTGCAGGGAAGGTTTGGGCCAAAGAAGGAAGGAAAAGACCAGGCAAAAGAGCACGGCAGCGTGTGTGTCCCCGGACTTGGCCTGGCCTCCTTGCCCAGCCAGCGTTAGCCATGCGCTGCCTTCCTGTCTCACTCCCCGCCCCCAAGAGACACAGATCTCTATGGTTGTTCCTGGAGCGCTGACGGAGTGACAGCCTCTGGCTTCTACAACATCTTCAAGCTGGGCGGGGCTGCAGACCCCACCTCCTGGGGACTCTGTGTCCTCCATCTTGGGGTACAGTGACTCGGGTACATCGAAGAGAAAATGGTTAAATGCCAATGAGAAAGGAATCAGTGAAAGGAAAGGAAGCTGAGCCGGCTGGGCATCCACGCTTCTAGGCTGCGCACATGGCGCCTAAAGGACCTGTCCTGCAGCGAGGTCGGTAGCAGGCTCTCGGGCTGTGCTTTACTGCGTCGTATCAGCAACGAGTGACCAAACACAGGAAAGAGACTAGAAAGAGAGATAAACGCAAGGCAGATGACGGGCCTCTTACCACCACCCCAGCATGATAGGAAAAGAAGAAAAGACTTCCTGGCACGTGAGAAAAGGAAGTGGCCCTTTATGCAACTGATGATAGTGTCTCCTGACACTCACACTTCTCAGAACACATTCATGCTCGGTCCCAAACATGTGTGTATCTCGGGGGCTGCGCTCCCTGTAGTTCCTCACGGTCCATCCCTTTGCATCCTGTGCTGGGACTGCAGGCAGCTGTGCACCGTAGCTGAGCAGAGCAGTCGTCAGGACTGGGACCTCAGTCCCTGGAAGCTGCGCTTGGGTGCTCGCAAACATGCTTCTCCAGGGCATAGCCAGACACTCTTTCCAGAAACATGGCCCAGAGCCATCCCTCTGGACCTGAGCCTGTCACAGACAGGGTCCTAGGAGGTTCCCAGACTAACTTGCAGGTTTGCTGACTCCCACCACAGAACAAGTCATTTCAGGATGTGTGTGTAAGAGGCAGAAATATAAAAGGTATGCTCTCAAAGAAATAGCGTGTGGGCCCTCAGGAGAGACGCACATTACAATCTGGACCCAGGTATATTCGTGGGGCTCGGGGATGTCTACAGCATGGGTGGTATACGACGCGTATTTCTGAGATAGACTAGGATGTGGCAAATCCAGCTGGGGAGGTAGGCATAAGCTGTTAATTCCAAGTTCTCAGACACTTGACAGAACAGTTACAGTTCCCAAAGCCCTGCATGTGGACTATGAGAACTCAAGCAGGTTTGCAATAGGCTGCCTGGACCTGAGGCCAGCCTGAGGTGCAGGAGCCCAGCACCCCCTCTCAGGGTCCATACGCAGAAGTTTATGCGGGTGCCCTAGAGATTTGATGATATAAAAGGACAGATGCCACAAAGAGCTTGTGACTTTCCTTGTGATAGCTGCCCTGTGTCCTCCAGGATGTACTTTTATCTTGCGTTTTCTTCTTTTACTCAGCCCCAGCATACTCTGCAAAGCTACTTTCTTCCTCAAACTTCACTTTTATTTTTTCAAATAAGCTTCGTTGTTGTTTTTTGCTCATTTCACCCAGTTCTTTATTCGGGATGAGCAGGACCTGGAGACCAGCTCCAGAAGGAGGTGTGAGCACTACAGAACCTGGTAACATTTACTTGGGGAGCCACTTTCAGAAGGAGACTACCTGGTAATGTTCCTACTACCTGTCGCCTTACAGGTCTGTCAGCTAACCATGCAAACTATTTACACGCACTTGAAGTTGAGGTAATTCTACTAATTCCACCACACTTGCTGATTCTCTGAGAGTGGAAATCTACAGAATGAAGCTTAATTTACAGGCGAAAAGCACAGACCCAGAACCCAATTCGTAGGCTTATTGTACCTTTAAGACCTGTAGGAATATTTTTTGAATGAGTTTCCTGACAGGGAAAAAGGTTTACATAGCTTTTGTGACCTGAAGCTGCAGGTTTTTCTAAAAAGT